AGGGGGGGGGGGGGAATCAAAGCTTCAGCAGTTTATAGTATCTTTAAGAGTTTGACTTGTGTCTGCACCACTGACATTGCACTACAATCATGTCTTCTATTTCGCATGGCCCTTTTTATTCCCACTTCTTTCCCCCTCTGGGTATCTAAAGTTTAGATTTTGTTCCAACCGAAATATTAACCAAGTCAGGCTGACAGTGGAAAATGACTCTCAAATTGGTTCATATGTGCAAAATATGCTGTCTGACGAACAACTGATGTGCCTGCGCTTTTGCTATGACAACCCCAAAATGGTTTTGAATCGTTAGCAACATCTTTTGGTTTTCACCCAATTGATGCTTGTGAGAATAGAAAGGATCCTCGATACAGTGAGTCAGTAAATGCTTCGACCCAGACTCTCGCCAAGTGATTAAGTGCAATTTCTTGGATATCTACGAAGTGGCATGTGCGGCGCTATTTTGGCCTGTCTTTATAGTAGCGCTTAGAAAATAAGATGGTTTACGCACATTTACGACTGGTCAATAAATGGTTTTACCTGCACAAGTCATATCAGAGAAGAGTGATTCGATTGCTCCCGGCAGCACGAACACCGTCTGGAAAAAAAGACTGTGGAGTGGTTCATATCTGCACTGACAGGTGCTGCCACCCTACCAGCCAATCTTACAGCCAATCAGATCAGGAGCCACGGTGACGTAAAATGGCCAGAGCATTTTGTTCTGTGAATAGGCAGTTGAAAACAAGTTAAGCTGAATCACAGCGATCTGCACCAGCCTGCAGCGATTCGCAGCTTTACAGTGTTGTAAAGAAAGACACAGTTTATGCAGAGAAAATCCGTCTCTAAATGACCCTTGGGACATAGTCTACTGGCCCAATGTGTCTGTACAAAATTGCCAAAACCGTTTCAGGGTCCCTCAACAACCTCAAAAAGATTGTAAGCTGTCAGCTCATGTGTTTTTCGCTCCCAACAAGCTTTTTAAGCTGAGTCCTCGTGCCCAGAGGCTGCACTAGCAGAGGGAACAGAGAGGCTGGAGCCCCACCCCCAATTTTTGCCTACCCCTCCCCCCCTCCTTCCAAAGAGCAAGCATGGCCAAAGGAAGATGTGCGAATTACTCACCTTAGTTTGTGCACCTTGTAGAGGAACAATTACGTGTTGTGGGTGCCACCCAAAAAAAAAATCCTGACTGCTGCTCATGTGTGTTGCGAAAAAGCAGACGAGGCTGTCGTGCAAGGCATCAAAAGCCTTACATGAAATGCTCCAAAGGCTATCCCCATGTCCTGTTTATGCTATCTCCCTGTCCTGTGGAGAAATATAAATTCTCAAGACTGAACATTGTGTGAATGACCTATTAGAGTAATGTGCCAAAAAAAATGTAAGAAAGGAGATAACGGTGCACATGTGGTAGTCCATGTCACTGCATCTGGTTGTACTGCTAGATTGTGGACACAAACATTCTGGGAAGAACAGTAACGCTTATACGAGACTTCCTGTGGAAGCTTACCTCATCAAAAAGAACAGAGATTGTTGCATAAGTGAATTGTCTGTCGCTTTGCTGGGCCCCGAACCTGAATTCATGCACAACCACCTCTGATATAGCTGTGTTGATTTATTGATTTATGAGCATGCATGACAAAAGAATATATATGTGAAACCTTTCTCTCCTACCAAACCTTTGCTCTACTAATATGTTTCTGCCGTTTATGCATGATCAACTTGCTCAACAATTATTTCTTCAATACTGAACCATACATGAGATTTTCTCATGCTTTGTAGCTCCCACCCATTAGAAATTGATTTTACTTTATTAAACTATACCCACCATAATCTCACGCTTTGTATCCAACTACTGTCAATATAGCTTTCAGCCAGCAATGCGACAGGCCGCATTTCTATTATTTACAACTTTACGCAATTATGTGACCAATGTGGCTGCATTGTGTTCCCAACATTTTTTTATAAAAAACCTTAATTTAGTTTTTCTGGATACTTCATAATGTACGTCAAGCGCCAAATAGTAGGGGACGGGGGCGCAGATGGGTTCGTGCCTCGCCCTGCATGAATGAGGAAAGTTTATATGTCACTTTAAAATCACCACAACGTGACGAGGTGGAGGTAAATTATGCCTTACATTACTCCCGTGTCACGATTATCATGTTTGAATGTGTCGTTTACCTTCGTCATCTATTCACGTCGCGTGATGCCAAATTTAGTATATGTGAAGCTAGCGATACGGCCGCGCGCACGCTATGAACGTGTTATGTTGTCATGTTCTTACATGACACGTGTGTCACGTTTATCATGTTTGCACCAGTCATGTGCCTTCGTCATTCATTGATGTCACATAACACCAAATTTGGTATATGTGGAGTTAGCGAAACGGCCGCTAGTGCATCACGAAGGGCCCAATATACTCCAACGTAACGTTGACACGCGTTCACGCTGACCGGCATGACCAGCGTCCGTCGGCGCGACCTGCCGGCAACCGGTGCGAAATGCGACATGCTGCCTTTCGCACCGATGCATTGCACTGCGTATTCCTCTTTTCGTGACGGAGGGACGCAGGATTCGCTGAAATGCGCATGTGTCAAAGCAACGCCGGCACGACGTTACAAAACGAACGCCGCCGGGTCATGTCGAAGTGTATTGGCGCCTTGACAGTGGCATGTAGCACGCATCCCATTATTATCATGCTTGTACGAGTCACATACCTTTGTCATCCATTGACTTCACGTAATACCGAATTTGGCGTATGTGGATTCTAGCGAAACGGCCGCGAGCTCATCATCAGTGTGGCATTTATTTCATGTTGTTACATATGACATGCTTGTCGAGACTATCATGTATGGATGTGCCATTTACCTATGTCTTCCATTCGCGTCACGTTTTATCAAATTTGGTACATGTGAAGCTAGTGAAACGGCTGCGAGCGCATCGTGAGCGTAGCATGTAGTCATGTGTTTACAGGACACGCGTATCAATGTGTGTATCATGTTTGCACCAGTCTCATACCTTCATCATCCTTGCAGGTCCTGTAATACCAAAGTTGTTATAAGTGAAGCTGGCGAAACAGCCGCCAGCGCATCATGAGCGTGGCATGTAGTCATGTTGTTACATTACACGCATCTCATGATTATCATGTTTGCACCAGTCACATACCTCCGTCATTCTTTCACGTACTGTAATATCCAATTTGGTATATGTGACGCTAGCAAAATGCCCATGAGCGCATCATGAGTGTAGCATGTAGTCATGCTGTTACATGACATGCATGTCATGATTTCCAGGTTAGGGTCTGTCGCTTTTGTTTGCCAAGCAATCATCTCATACCATACCAGTTTTGCAACATGCCATGTGAACAAAACCACCGCAAGAACAGCAAGACCATGAAATGTATATCATGACATACTCATGATTTTCATGTTATGACTAGTCAAATAAATATGCTTGTCATGCAGTCGTGGTATGCCATACCAAGTTTGGTATCGATATCATTACCCAAACGGCCGGGAGAGCTAAAAATCGTAGGCGGCTAGCTAGCTAGCTAGATAGATAGACAGATAGATAGATAGGCAGACAGACATACAGATAGATAGATAAATAGATAGATAGATAGATAGATAGATAGATAGATAGATAGATAGATAGATAGATAGATAGATAGATACGCTCAAATAGATAGGTATATACGCTCAAAGTCACCGAAGTTTGCTAAGAAATGCTTTGCATTTAAAAAATGGTGATTTTTCTTCTCATGGGGATGAAGGCGGTTGGGCTTCCCCATGATACACCATCCTTGTACGTTTTAGTTCACTTGAAAAAAGAAGAGGTGTCCTCTGTAGGATAAGTGGCCAATGTCGCCACCCAGTAACCCCTTTACCACTACAGCCACTGTATGGTGGCTAGCCACTGTGCATGCGCAGGCTAGCCATTTGTAGACGACACACCATGCATAGCCTATAGGGTCTAGAAGTACCATAGCCTCCTAGATTACCCTTGCCTGCCCGGATGAGCGCGAAACGCCCGTCAACTATAGCGGCGCTACCTACGTAGGGGTAAAGGTCTTTGTACTTGGCCTTTGAGATTAGCAATTTTGGCGTTTACTAATTTCAAAAACTATGCCTTGTATTCACGGAGGAAGGAAAGCTTCCTCCGTGCCTTGTATTGAAGGGGTTGCCTGCTGAATGAGCGCAATATGCCCGCCATTTATAACGACGGCACTTACATAACGTTAATTATAATTACGTTTACGTCTTTTTAAAACTTTTTAACGTTATTTTTGTTGCATGTAAGCTTCAAAAACGTAAAAACTTATTTGAAGACACATACTTAAGTAGCGCCACCACCATAGTTCCGACGACGGCCGCTTCCCAAGTGACCACCGATAATCCGGCAGGCAAGGGAAATCTAGGAGGCTATGTTACAGACTATCCATAAACGTGAGGGGGGAAGGGAGGCTTGTCATTCCCCCATTATGGCACCATACCCCATCCTGAACGTCGCACACGCTTATGGCATGGGCTACAATCTTGTGTACTGCATATGCTAGGACTAACGATAGAGTTAATATACTGTCTGTATATTAACTCTATGTGCCACCTTGCAGGTAGCAAGTAGCAACTGTACGGAAGCCATGAGTGCACTGTGACCGCTGCCTTTCTGTTTGAGATCGCGAAAAATCTGTTATTCTTTTGGCAGCGTCTTCTGCGCCGCGCGGCGCAGCAGCCAGTCCCACACAAAAGTGGCTCCTGCGCCGCACAAAAGTGACGTCACGTAAAAATTATTACCTAAAGCTATTTAAATGTATAAATTATACTATATAATGCGTTAAACTACAAAAATTTTACTAGGCATGTGTTTGACGAGTCAAACAGCCTATATTTGTTAATTAAACACATATTACAAGCATTTTAAATACAGGGAGCGTCATGGCCACTGCGGCTGCGAAAGATAAACAGTGCGAGATGGTAGTTACCTGCGATGTGTGTTGGTGGTGAAAGCTAAAAGTTTTCAATATTTTTTGCACCAATTATTACAAAGCAGCGATGCCAACAAAATTCACATTATCAACCAGAGTTATTTGATCATATGGTTGAATAACGTTGATTATCACCGTCATCGTAGTTCTTGTTTTTGTTTTACGCGCAAGCACGTCGAGCCAAGACACACCAGCTGAGAAGCAGCGCCTGTGCAGACACACGCAATGCACGTGCGCGCGCGGATCGCATCCGTGGAGCTTGCGTTCGGACCGCCATTGCCGTCTTGCCACGAATTCTTTGTTTGTGCCTCGTCGTGCAGCCGGTGCTCGTTGTCTGGGCAGCATAAATTGACGTAGAACCTCGGCGCAAGCACTAGGATTCCGTGCTGATGCCCTCCTTGAGTACTACCTGAGGATGACACTACGGCATGCAAGTTCAGCGTAGTCTCGTCACAGAACACCTGTTCTCACACTCGACATGGATTCCGAAGCACGCCTCGCGTCTGTGCCCCCAGTGAAGTTAACAAAAGTTCCGAGCCCACCGGACGTGCCGTTCAAGAAGAGCCTTTCGGTTTACGTGACGCTTTACGAGAGGCCCAACAGACTATTTCTGCGACTTACCGACAACGATGCGATATATTTTATTGAGGAGGAGCGGCAGCATGTCTCAGAGACGTCCATTGGCACGTACTGCATGGTGGCATTGCCGCAATACTCCGACGGGCAGGCACTGCGCGCACGGGTGACGGACATTCGCAGGGATGCTACGGGCACGCAGGTTCTGGCCGATGTCCTGTACGTCGACGAAGGCCGCGCCGATGTTGTCCCACTGCACCGTGTGTACCCCATGAGTGACAGCGAAGCCCGCGATCCCTGCCGATCAGTGGCCTGCTGCATGCGGAGAATCAGGCCAACTTTGAGGAGCTCCTGCTATGACATGCAGTGGCTCGTCGACAGGAGCGAACCTCACTACTTCGACGCCGTATTCCATGGCCTATCGGATGGTGGTGTTTACCAGGTGGACTTGTTCATCAACATTCCCGATGCCCCCCCTGTGATGCGGCGTCGGAGTGTTGCCCGACTCCTTGTCGATAACGGCTTCGCAGAATTCTTGGATTACCCAGGAGATGCCCCGCGCGTTGTTGTTGAACCGACAGCCGATGCGGACGATCATTCCCAGCGTGATAGCGAAGGCGTCGTCGGGCAGATGCTGGCCGAAAGGGGAAGCACCGAGACCGAAAATGGAGCCATTGGAGCGAACGAAATCTACATTCAAGGTGACATTTGCCCCGAGAGTAAAGCCTGCACCGGGAATGAAATCTGTGCCGACTATGGAATCGGCCGCGCTAGGACTACAATAAACGCCGTGGTGTTGGACAGATCGCCTTCTACTCTCTCCGCAATCAATGGCGAGGTGAGCCCGTCCTCTTCTACTCACTCCACGATCAGTGGTGAGGTGTTGGACAAATCACCCTCCACTTTTTCTGCCTGCAGTGTTAATTCACTGAGTCGCAGCTCTCTCTGCTTTGAATTGACACCGTTTGTGCCACAAGGAAACATCATAGACATCAACGTTACGTTCATCCTGTCACCCGATCACTGGTATGGACAGCCTACCTCTGCGGTGAAAGACCTGTCAGAAATGAGCGGCATCATAGAATCGTGCACGCAAGTGGCATGTGTGAAAAGGCCGATGGTGAAATGCAAAAAGAACACCGTTGCTCAAAAATCAAATCATCCAGCTCTTGCTTCTTTCAATCCCATGCAGGATGACTACTGCAGTCCTCTGAACAGTTACATTGTGAACACCGACGACCCAGGGGTGGCTGCTGCAAACTTTCCAGCAAAAACCAACCGCGTCTGCAAGTTCTACAGTACGCGAGGCTATTGCGAAGAAAACACTTTTTGTGTATACAAACATGTTGAGGCAGAACCCAACTCAACCCTTTTGCATATAACCGAGCCTGCCGCTCAATGCGTCGAATCGAAGCCACCCGAACCAGGCAGTTGGCTATTGGGCCAGGTGTCGGCGTACGTCAGCCCAAACCATTTCTATTTAGTTTTCTGCTATGGGAGAAAGACTCTTGATAGACTTATTATGGAAGATGGTGCTTTCAGCTGTGGAGAGTCTTTGCTAGGCCTTATAGACGACATGCAAGACATTTCCAGGTATGGCCATTTCTTAGAAAACAGGCTTTTTGCAAAGTCGGTTGGTGAGTTCGTCGCTGCCAGGTCCAGCCGCAACAACTTGTGGTATCGAGCAAAGGTTGTTTCTATCGGTCATGGCGAGCGCCTGAAAGTGATGTTCGTGGACTTCGGGTTTTATGAATGGGTCACGTTGAATAATGTCAGAACACTGGATCCACGCTTTACACTCTTGCCCATTCAGGCGCAGTTGTCATCCCTCGTGGACACTGAATTGTGCTGCATGAGGGATGGAACCAGTTGGGACAAAAAAATGCGCAAACAGTTCCTCAAATGTGTCACTGGCCAAACTCTTCTGATCGAGACTGTGTGCTCGAAAGAGGAATTCTTGCATGTCAAGCTCTACTTCTGCCATAAAGACGTGATCTACAGTGTGACTGATTTTATAAAAAACATATAAACAGACTAAAGTCAAGAAAGAGGCTACAAGTGCTCAGTATTTACTGGAATTCATGCATGCTCTACTGAACTCTGCAGGATTTTCGAAACATTACCTTAGTTCACAGAATTTGTTTGTTTTGTGTTTTATTGTGATTGTCCTGCAGCGACTAAAATTTTGGAGACCACAGGATCGCGTGGCCAACAGCAGTGCAGCACCTTCTCACGGCTACCAGAGAAGCTCAAAAGTGCGCACTGCGCAAGCGCATCCGTTCCTATCTACCAGCCTGCAGTTTTGCTCCCTTGAAATGTGTGCACAACGCAAAGCCAAAAAAATTGCAAGGTGTTGCTTTTGCAACAAGCGATAATATCGCGGCAATATATTTAACTTGTAGTCGCAGTGACCAGAGTGCGCCGCTTCTATGCCTTTGTTCCAGATGCTCCATTGAACCCAAAACGTGCACATTGCGTCAGTTTTTTTTTTTTTATCGACACATGTGATAAGATTACCGAGCAATGCTTTATTTTAGCGAGGCATGCTCTTTTTCACTGCCGTGGAACATTTAAAATGAAAGCACCGAAGTGGCCTGCACCGAGCATCGTCTCTACAAGTTTGGCATTTTTGTCGTGAAATTGTTACGTATTGTTACGCTGATATGTCAGCTACGTAGCAATATCATCACTCAGTGCTTCCAGAGTTACTGCAAAAGTGACACCTTGCGATTTTTCTGGCGTTCCGCTGTGTGCAGCTGTGAGAAGGCGCTGTGGTGTGTTCGCCACAGTACCTGCGATTCCATCACAGAACGTCTGAGATAACCGCACCAGTGTACCATTTTTGGTTGTTTGTTGATGTGTGCATGGGACAAATAAATATTTTTATTAAGACAATCAAGCAATTTCCACTATCTTGGGTGTTTTGGTGATGGCCCTATATATGTAAAAAATAGTAAATTAAAAAAAAAAGCTAGTGAAAAGCATAATCGGCAAGACAGGAAGGAAAAAGGACTGTTTACTCATTTACCAGCATGATTCGAATTCCATAAATTTTTGTTTTGGAAATGAGGGCCATACTAATGCTTTTGGGACATTCGTTGCTCCTGGTAAGTTCAGTATGAATCAGCTTTGAACAAAAGGTAAAAATACTTAATATGTGGAATCACACAGCACCCAAGGCCAGTGGGAGCTGTGTTGAGCTGCCCTGAACACGCTTATAAGAACCATATTAGACAATATGCTCTGTTAGAATATCAGAAGCTGGTTGTACAAGTGGACAGCAATGTTATATTCAACGCACTTTTGTCTTGGCTTTTATGCAGTTTTGAGGAATTAGGTGGAGGCTCTAAAATGTAACAAAAAAGAGCTCCTCTCCAGGTCTGGCCATTTTGAGACATGTGCAATGCTTATACTGTGGATTCATTATCATGTTTTCCAAGAGTTACATTGGCACAAACCATGAGAAGGAACTATTTCAAAGTGAATGTTCTCGCTTATACTGGTGTCAAACGGCCACTTTTGGTCACAGTCGTTTCTGATCCCGATCTTATTTCATGATTATGATTGGCTCTCTCACGCAAGCTGCAGAAGGGAGCCGGGCGCTGTTGAGAAATTTGATCCCGACCAGGCTTGATTGTGATCAACAGTGCACCTTATGATGCCGGAATTTAAACTGAACATCAGCTGCTCTTCTCCTTGTTGGCAGTTGGCGCTGCACTTCTAAATGGGGCATTGGCTTGTGATATCGACTGAGCATAGGTACACTGCAACATAGGTGAAGAATCTGTGCCACACACCAGAGATCCTCTATGTCCTCACCTGTCACCCTCTGTGGTGGGCAGGGGTGACATGGAGGCACTCTAATGCAACATAAATTGCAGAAGAAGGGGGAGGGCAGGTCTTGCCCACTTATCACGAGTTGTGCATGACGTGGCGATGTGCGCTCATCACGTGATCCTCCCACACCATTAAGGGAGAATTCCAAAGAAGGAAATTGGCTTTCTAAGGCTAAAGAGAACAAGTGGCAAGGATGTGAAGCTTGCCTCTTCACATCATGGCTGCTTGCCGCTTCAAAATATTTAGCTCTGCCTGTAAAGAACAAAATTTAAAAGCTCCTGCGATAGATAGCTCTCAGTCCAATGCTAGTGCATATCTGAAATTGACTTTGTGGCCTTGTGAGTGATCTTTTAAGAAGACTGATTTACAAGGCTTTGTCGCTTAGAGGGGCTTTGCAACACTTTTTCAGCGGGGTCGGGAAAATGCTACTGGTCGGTAGTCGAGGCACCTGAAAACATGCAAGTTATACATTATAGTTATACATTATAGTGCGGCAGACGCTCTGGAATTCACAAATTATTATCAGTCAGCTAGAGATAGCTCAGTCTTTTCTTCACAAATGATGCCATAACACAAAGTGACGTCATTGGCGAAAGCCCACGGTCATTGGCTGATTTGAGGAACATGAACTGCATAGTTAATATGGCTGCCACAGGGTGCCTCAATGTGTCCCTGTTGTACTCTTTAGTGCTAGGAATACATAGTGTGTTAAGCTGTGCATTCAAAGAAAAAAAAAAAGAGAAAGTGTGTGAGGTCATGACGTGTGCTGACAAACAGACATAGGTTCTTGCCCCTGGGTCATCCCTCCCTGCATAACTTTCAGTGAGCTCGTTAATACAAAAGGAAAGAGAAAGCACTTAAGTGTTCAAGAAATATCCATAGCTCTGTTTGTATTTGACAGATTCTAAAAATTTTTGCGGAAGTTGACTCGGGAGACAATAAGCTTTTAATCAAGTCATTTGATGCTTACCTAGAAAAGTGTTGCAGAACCCCCTTAAAGACAGAATGCTGTCCAATTCTGCCGTTTTAATGCTCCCAAAGGGAACGGCTTTAGTGCATTACGGTCTGAGCAGAAGAAAAAGAAAGAAAAGCATGCTTGCATCGTAACATGCTGGAGTTGTTTGCTTCAGCATCCTGTACTACCAAGTGGCCCAAAAATCGCATTTTCAAATTTTCAGTTGCAGTAATGATTGCGATCTTTTACACATGTTTGCATTGTTAGCAAGGTTTATACAAATGTATATCAAAGAGTGTTCTAAAAATCTCAACTCATGAAGCTTCTATGCTAAATTCATGCATGCTGAAAAAGAACAGCAAAGGATATGTGCCATTACCTGCCACCACTAAAGTGTTGCCAACTAGTCTGGTAGATTTTTGCAGATTTTCTTGCCATCTTATGCCTACTCCAGCCAAAAAGCATCATGTGCGTGAAACAAAACTTGGTGTTCTTACACCAAGTAGCTCCACTGTGAATGCTACGTACATTATACTAAAGCTTGCTATTTTATAGTAACGCCCGAGTGTTGTCGTTTTCAAACCTGAATGGTTTCGATGGACCCCCCAAAAAGCAATACCGAAAGAAATTCAGTTGAAAGAATGAGTTCCTTGTCCTTTATTTAGATGCTCTGTCTTGTCTGCTAGCTGATGGTGTTTATGGTTGGACTTTGACACTATATTTACAACTATGAGTGGATTCTTTTCATTATGGCATGTGCATCAGCAAAACTTTTAATGCAAAAGCTTTAGATGCCTTATTTAACGTAAAGACTGACCATCAATGTCATCAAAACGAGTAATGTGGAAAGACATCTGGTGATGTCACATGAGATTGTGGCAAGTGTCAGTTTAATGTTCTTATAACTACACTCACTTTGATTTTTTTGGTGACACTGATGTTGCATGTGTTTATGCACAGGTGACGATAATGATTGTTGTGTTTCCCTATCTAGTAGGTGCCTACACTGTCTGTTTTTTACTGGACAAACATCGAGCAAGAAAAGAATATTTAATGGCCACTTCTAAATGACTGCAGAAAAGGCATGATGGTAATAGCTGGTGGTAGCAGCACCCACTCCAGTGATATGGGCTATAGGGTATCTTACAACACAACGTAGAGAGACATGTGGCACCACAGTCTATGAAAGTCTCTCAACAAGCACTTTACTGTTGTGGGAGCGACTGTATATTTGCCCACAGAACTGCTGTTGGCTGGTGTTCAACTAGGCATGCCCTACAATGTGCATGTGGCTGTGTGAATAAAAATTTTAATCAAAGTGTTAATGAATGGCTACCATTCAGATGTGTCACACTTTCTAATTTAAGTGCGTAATCAGGCAATGGATAAAAATACAACTCTTTACTAAGTATCACAAAGCAAATATTGACATCTATATATTTTCCCTAACACCAAGAACAGGCTGCTACTTTTCACAATTCATAAATGTTTACATTCAAGAGAAAACTTTCATAAGTGAATAAAATATGTTTATCAGAAAAAATGCTCTTTATGTGCCAATTTGATGCAAAATTAACTCTTTACAGATGAATGCTGTAACGCTGGGTTTTCTTTAAAGTGTCTGGGTATTTCTTCACTGATGCGTACACACACAAATATACAAGTGCATATACAAAATAGGGCAAAAAAAGGCAGGCCAATGAGTGGGGCAAAGCCTGCCAAATTTTTTCGGGAGGAAAAAATTTGAACTCATACAAATGAGGAATAAATATACAAATAATAAACAAGGGCTTGAGTAAAGTGGAAACACGAAAAAGCATTTACAAATGGGAAGTTATTTTTCATGATGTGGGCACATAGCAGGGCACAATATTCCATCCTGCTACTTCCAATTCATGAAAATGACTAAATTTGGACATGTTGAATTCCAATACTTGCAACAAAAGCTTTCCACATTGATAATTGCAGGAAGTGGTGGTAGATCCAGAGAGCAGTATAAAAAGGATCCCCCTCCAGCACCCGTTCATCGCTTAACAAGGTGTGGGTTCGAGCTAACTGCATGATACTCCATCTCAAAAAAAAAAAAATACATGCGCAAGAAGTAGTTGAGCATCCTCCCCTCTCTTCAGTGCTTGTCTTCCACCTCCTATTACCGATTCGTACGAATGTGTGTGACCACTGTGAGCATACATTAACAGCAATTATGCTATGACAGGGTTTTCATGCTTCTAAAAACAAGAAAATCCCGACCCGCTGCTACCTTCTCTGGTGGTACTTCGAGCGACCCCCCCTCGGTGTCCTGAGCACTTGTCAACAGTATTCGTGCTCTGATATGGTTTTCATGCTACGAAAGACAAAAATTTTAGGACCTTCCACCTTTCTGGTGTTACTTCAAGCGACCCCCCTCTCCGGTGTCCTGAGCATACATCAAGAGTATTTATGCTATGACAGGGTTTTCATGTTACTAAAGAAAAAAAAAGTCGGGACCCCCTTTCTCCCTTAGTGTCCTGAGTCCACATCAGCACACGTCATCTCGGAGTACATCAGTGGTGTTAACTTGGAGAGAAATAAGCGTCTCTTCTATCTATTTTGAGTATCAGAGATTTTTTGGACACTTTCAAGTGTTTAACTATGCCTCTGAGCTGTACATCGCAGTTGAGAATCTCTGCTGAAAATTAAAAGCTGGTTGCGCCCTGTTCATAACGAAAGAATGAAATCACAATGTGCCTACTGTAGGAACGAATTTCATGCGAAGCTTCTCGCTATAAAGGAGCATGCCAGCACCTCCAAGTACCCCCCCCCCCCCCCCCATTCCAAAGAAATCACAGCATAATTACGGTGTGAATGATGATGAGTGGGGCGGAGCGTCCGTCCGTCCGTGCTTCTACCGTCCATACTTCCGTCCCTGAGTCCGTCCATCCATCTGTCCATGTGTCCGTCCGTCAGTGCTTCTGTCCGTCTTTGCTTCCGGCCGTCCGTTCTTCTGTCCGTCCATGCGTCCAACTGTCCGTCCGGTTCTATACTATGTATAGAACCTCCTTGGGTTGGATGGACCCACGAATGGACGGACGCTTCGCCCCCCTCACTATCATTCACTCCGTTGATATGCTGCAGTGCTGCCAACCTGCGGAGCCACCTTTTCCTTCTCTGGAGTGGGAAAATTGTCCAGATTTCCTTAGATTTTCATGGAGAGCAGTTTTTGAACAATAATATGTGTTTGTGCAGTGGAAAATGATTTCCAAGTTCACTTTCTTAATATATAAGTGCATTCGTTTGAAAATATTCGCTACAATTGCCGTGCTGAAAGTGAAAAAAATGTTGCACTACACATTGAAAAGCTTTGAAGAACATTTTATCCCATTAAATCACAAAGGTAAGTGGTCATCGTATTTAGGGGGGGGGGGGGGGTGACACGTAGTCTCGCTGTATTTTATACAAGTCACCAAGAAAACAAGCATTGCATAAAGGTTGAAGAAGGAATAAATTATCAAAACAATACTTAGGAACCCTGCTAGCTGTTCAATGCAAAATGCGGAAATCTTACACTATAATAGAGTGCACTTGTAATAGCAAGCAAGTTACAAATTAATAATAATAATAATAACGACCATATAAAGCATAGTACGTGAAATATTCCGGGGAGCAAACTTTCAAAAATTAATAATCAATTCTGTTATTTGCAACTCTCCCGCAGAAAACGCATGCTGGTGTTTATATAAAGCACGAAGTGATAAACGCTTACTTAAATTATAAACAAGGTCTTGAAAAACGTCACTCTCAATCTTTGCCATGATATCGGATGCAGGATATTGTGACGAAAAATAGTTTAACCATGAAAGCATATTATGCCGTGAGGCAGTTCATCCATCGCAACCTGCTGAATGGTAACGAAAACATATGTTTATTAGAAATGTTGACTGCCATATATTTGTTCTAAATATATCCTTGCATTCTTCCAACTGGCACTTTTTTTCAACATTTTTTTTCAGCCATGCAAATAACCGCATACATGCAGCCTGCTGTTCTGGCTGCGCTTTTCACAGAAACCTTGCTTACTTTGGCGGAGCCACACGGCTCCACGGGGCAGCTCACTAGCAACGTGACAGCGTTCGCAAAAAAAAAAAAAAGGAAAACCGATAAAAAAAGTCACTGTTTCGCCGCAAAGCTACTGAAGACTCAAGCTATAAAGTCGTCCTGCCACGTCTTCCAACTGGTAACGACGCTTTGAATTCCGTTTTCCTTCATGCCGACTTGAGTGGTAGGCCGTACCGTGCCCCAGACTTCCGTGACGCGCTGCTTAAAGTGGTGAGCACAGCGGACATCATAGGAGTTAGCCAGTATCAAATGAGCCATGTATGGATGGTTACGTGTGCAAGCAGCATGGCGAAACAGAAACTCGTCACTTGTGGTGAGCTCCGTGTAAAAGGGCTGAAGTGCATGGTGCTAGATCCGCAGACCAAGAATATTAGGCTGAAACTTCTTTGGCTTCCGCCTCATCTTGAATCGCGACGTGTTGAAGAGGTGTTCCAAGCTTACGGCGTTGTGAAGTCCGTTGAAAGAGAGGCATGGAGATGTGCAAGAATGTAACAATGGATGAACACAAATAGGGACGTTGCCTTGGAGCTCAAGGACACTATCACTGTGAACTCAATACCACACCTTATGTCAATCTATGGCCACCAATGCCTCCTACTAATTCCCGGTGGGCCTCCACTGTGTCTTCGGTGCAAGCGAGTGGGGCATGTACGTCGACAGGGCAAAACACCGAGGTGCTTGCAGTGCCAGCGTTTTCGTCACTCGTCGGATGCCTGCGTGTCGACTTATGCCAACAAACTCCGTTCTGGCCAAGGCGCAGAAGAGCAACATCTGGATCATCTTATGGATGTCACTGAGGTAGTTTATGCGACAGGAGAAACAGCGGGAGGAGCAGAAGGTGCCTTAAAGGAAGCTGAACACTTGTCCATGGATACCCTTGGCACGCAAAATAACACCGCTAACGACGCCAGTGAAAGCATAAATTAATGCAATGCTGCAGAAGAACACCACTTGGAATACCTAAAAGACAAGCCTCCTGACAATGAGGAACAAGAAGGAATGGATAGCGGTCAGACAAGGAAGCGTCAGGCACCGGTCACCGATGAAGCAACAACGAGTGCGCCAGACACGACAGAGCAAGTGTCTTCATGTGATCCACGTGTCACCTTCTTTGGGTACCAAGAGACGCGCCGTCTATGCCAGCGTCCCCAGGAAAGTGCTCCTAATAATGGCAAAGGTGGTAAAGCCACAGGTTGCCCTGTGGCTAAAGGTGACCTGCAAAAGTTCTAAGATAGCAAAATGGCTACTGCGCTAACGTTTACCATGTGTGTAGCGACACTGAACGTACGTGGCTTGAGGAATGTAAGACGTCAGTGGCAGTTGCGCCACGTGCTTGAGCAGTACAACATTGACGTACTTGCAGTGCAAGAGACTAAGATTTCCGCTGCTTGTGATGCCGATCTTGCACTGTAAGTTCTCCCGAGATTACAATATATACATCAGCCCAGCACGTGGTGCATCCGATGAATGCTTTTTATTAGTTGGAAAGCACTTGAATCATATTTTGACGTCACTGCATGCTGATGGGGAAGGACGCGTCATTTGTGGCGACTTATGTTTTCATTCCCATAATTGGAGGTTTATCTGTGTCTATGCTCCCTCCAAAGTGAATGAAACGAATTCTTTTTTTCCTCTCTTTAACTTCGCTGCTAAACACTGACAGAACTTTGATAGTTTTTGGAGACTTTAATAGTGTTTGTGACGCGAGAGATCATTCATATATAAAAAATTGTTATGATGCAAGTGCAGCCTTACTGCAGAAACTATTTAATGACCACAATTTAATGATGTGGGAGCGCATGTACCTTCCTCGGTGAGGTTCACGCACTTTCAAGGCATCTCTCATGCTCGGCTTGACCGTGTATATGTATCTCTAAGCTTATGGTCTCACATTCATAATTATGCTGTAAAGCCCATATTTTTTTTTTACAGACCATTGCTTGGTCACTGTTTCTTGGGGTCCTGACAATTTTCGTAAAACCCCTCTAAACTGGGACCCATGGAAGCTTAACGAACAGTTGTTGCGCGAAGATTGTTTTGTTAAAATAGTAAAAAAAAAACGGTACAAGAGGTAACACAGTGTCGACAGCTGCCTATTTTCGCTCAATGGGAAAGGTTCAAAGAAAGAGTCAAGTATCAGGCAATTAGTATTTCATGCGAAATAGCGCAAAGAAAAAAAGCTGAAAAACGCTATCTTTATGATTTACTTCATAAGCTCCATACTTTTGAA